TGAATTGTGAGGTGGCTGTGTCAATGTCTTGTTCAATTATGTCATTCCAGTTAGTATCGGTAAGTGTCGTGGTCAAGAGGTCGATGTTTATTTTCCTATATTCCCAAATAACAATTGGTGGTTTCTCGACATTGTCGATTATTGTTGTGTCTAGTTCGGTGAAAATGGGGAAATGATCAAGGTTTGCAAATGATGACAGTGTGCCGCTGTTTTGAATTATGTCCGTGTTGCTTGTGAAGATTAGGTCTCTTAAATTTGCGACATCATACGTTACTCTGGTTGGCTCATCAATTAATTGGTTAAAGTTAAGCATGTCAGCTGTTTCCTTAATTTTGTAGTCAAATGAGGTTATGCCACTTTGCCCATTAAAGGACCTGTCAAGGTATATGTTTCCCGTGTTAAAGTCCCCCAGTGTTATAACGGCTGTCGGTGAGTGAGTTTGTGCTAAACAGGCTGCTTCGGTAAACGTGTCGATAAATGTCTGCAGTCGGTCCGATGGTAGGTGGGGTGGAAGGTAAATACAACCAATGATAAGTGTGAAGTTAGCGATCTTGATTTTTGCCCATACCCACTCTTGGTTCCCAATTTCAATATGTGTAAGTCTTTGAATTGGTAGTGATTTATGACAATAGAGGGCCACGCCCCCTCCATGTCGCGTTCTGTTTTTTATTATAGGCGGATGGAAGTCTTCCAACATGTATTGACTGTCTGCTATCGTATTATCAAGTTTCGTTTCAGTGAGCGCTAGGATATGCACGTTGTTTGTTTGTATAAATTGTTCCAATTCTTCTTTTTTATTTTCTACAGTAATGCTGTTTATGTTTATGTGCACAATTCTTAAATTTGTCCTATCAGTTGGCCCTGGGTTCGTTTCGATGCCGTGCATTGTCAAAAGTTTTTGAATGTTTAGGTAGAGCCCAAGCCGTGTCCATTGAGAGTTTGTCAAAGTCAGGTTTAAGGGTATGTCATGTCTGGTACAGTGTATGCTTGGAGATGTCGCAGATTGGATGGGATTAGTCGAGGCTCGGTGGGCTTGGATTAAGGTACTGGAAGTCCCTGCACGGGCCGCGGTCCCAGGCGGCGGCGGCGCCCGGACGGCGGCTGACACCTCGAAGATGGCCGAATGAAGTTGCTGTACCGGGCGAGCCCGCACCCCCAGCGGAGCCGCGGCGGAGGCGACGGCCGTCAGGTCGAGCATCAGCGAAGACGAACGGCGCCGGCGAGCACACTGCAATCATAATGTCGGTATGTCAACCACTGGCAGCTAGACAGGTGTTATACACACTTGAAAGACATGGTTTACAGAAGGTACAATATAAAAATAAATGCCATGCAACATGAGACGCTTAACAAAACAATGCACGTCGACTGAACACTGATCCGAATAGCGATAATTTGAGTCGTGTGACTCTCGAACACAGCAAACCAGTCACCAACCCCTCCCATCCCACCAAGCCCGCCCCACTCCTCTCCCCTCCCTCCCTCTCCCCATCCGCTGCCACACCTGTCCCACGGCTCAAAGGTCAACAGTCGGGAGGTCAGCGGGTGACCCGGTGACAGGCGGTAACGGGTAAACGCGACGCCAGTACTACCGTACTGAGGATAGCCTCGGGAAAGGGACCGCTCCGGCCTCGGCCGGCGCGCTGGGTCGGGGATGTCACAGGGCCAGGGCAGGACGGGTACACTGGATAGAGTGGTGCGCAGCGAGATCAGCTCAGACAGAGGGGCGGCGCGAGCAGGGCGCGCACCGCAGACGGCGGGTCAGGGCACTTCGGGGCAGGGATCAGCACAGGACCAAAGGACGCTCTCACAGACGCTGAGTCGACACGCATCGGGGCAGGGGCCGGCACAGCGAGAGTTACCGTGCACTTTACTTAGCCGAACTTTTGTTGCCCCGGGTGACTCGTCGGAAGCCGTCCCCGTCGGTCTCCGTCGGCGCCTGAGGTTTGCGACGTTCGGCTGCGCTGTTGACGAGCTTCTGCAGGTCTGTCATGGTGCGGATCACAGTCGTCGGGCCGTTCTCTCTGAGGCGCACCTTCAGTTTTCCGACGTCCGACCACGCCGCGAACAGCTTCCCCTCCTTCCTGAACTGACGAGCTCTGTACAGGATGTGCTGGTTCTCCCTGGTGAGGTTGTCCGTGACGAACACCTTGCTGGCCACCGCAGTCGTCACAGTCGATCCCTCGAACGACCGAGGCTGGCGTAGCTGTCGACGGGCCCCGTAGAACGCCTCCCGCTTGGCGTAGGAGACGAATCTCACCAGTAGGGTGCGGGGCCTACCTGGCTTCACAGCGCCGACACGGTGGGAGCGGTCGATGTCCGCCTTGGAGACGTCCACTCCGGCCAGCCGAGCGGTGTCCATGACCAGCCGGTCGGTGTCCTCGTTCGGTGTCTCAGGAATCCCACTCACATCCAGGCAGAGGCGGCGAGAGTACTGCTCTAGCCCGTTGAGCTGAGCCCTGGTCTCTGCTAGCTCCTCCTTGAGTGCCTCAATCTCCTCGTCCCTGGCTGCAACGGCTGAGTCCACCGCCGCTCTGACCTGGTCTCGGATGATGTCGACGAAGACGTCGTCCTTCAGGATCCTCGTGATGGCCTCCTTCAGGGCTGCGTCGTCCATGACTGCCGTGGGTGCAGTGTCTGCTGGTGCTCACCGGCGCCGCTCACTAGCACAAAACACTGGTAACGCTCACCGCGGCCACACCGACACTCTAACTCACAGCTGACAGCTCGGAGCGGCCGGCGAGCGGGAGCGGCGGGAGCGTGACCTGACCCGGCGGCGGCCACAGGTCAACTCCCGGTTGGAAAACACTCGATGGGCGGGCGGCCGGCCGGCCGGCGTGGTGGGCTGCCGGTGGGCTGCGCATCCCACCAGTGAATGACTGCGCATCCGACCAGTGAATGGCTGCGCATCCGACCAGTGAATGAGCGCTGATGAAAGTCACTTCTTTGGGTCGGACCGTTCAGAAAAGAAATTACACGTCTGGGGATAGTCATTTCTGGAATGATTGCCCGATTAAAAACTGGGCTGATTCTGAATTAGTTTGACTAATTACCTTAGTTTTGGGCGACATTTTGCCAGTTTTTTTTTTCTCTTGTCATTCATCGTTTTACCCAGGTCATTTAAAAGCCATGACTGGAAGGGCAGGTAATTGTCTGCCGGCTGACGGAGTTTTTGCCGCTGATATTTGGGTGACGGACGGACGCTAGCAGTCGAGTTTACCTGTCACCCAGCTGTCAGTGGCCAATGGGGCGGCCCGACCTTGTGTCGCGCTCTGTTCCCCCCCCAACTCGGGACCACACCCCCACAGTTCAGCCGAACTCGCTGTCCACACGGTGATTTTCTCGCCGAGCCGGTCCAAAAAGACGTGCTGACAAATCGGCCTGTGTGGGGCGGCGTTTCCCGGGCCGCGGTCCGCCCGTCACACGGTCTGGCCGCTGTCGGCGCTCTGTGATCGCTGCAGCCGCGCTCCGCCCGGGGTCGATCTGCACGGCCGGCGGCGCCGCTCCGCGCCGCGCGGTCCACTCCTCTGCAGCAGGTGCCCGCCGCGGTGCCGGCGCGCAGCCTCTGTGACGGGAAAGCCGGCCTGACAATCGCAGTTCTTTTGTTGTGGTTGGCCTACCGTCACTGTGCACTCTGCAGTTATCTGCTCCGCGGCATTGTTGTGTCTATATGCGCGCACGAGTGAGTGCGAGGCAAGAAAACGTTTATGTAAGTTGTTTATTGGAATGACACATCGCCTCTGTTTGCTACCATGCCATGCCAATGGCGGTATTGTCTGTCACTTTGCTAAGGTAGATAACTTAGCTAAGGTAACTGGGCGGGTCCGCGCTCGTTGCGCTGGGGTGCGGTCCAACTGCCCACCCCTGTCTGCAACCCCGGGGCGTGGCGCGCGCACGGACACCCGCCGGAGATAGCTCCGCTCGGCTGGGATTGCAGCCGTCCGTGTCTGCCGCCGGGGTCAGCCGTGCGCCGCAGTAAACACCCGAGGTCCGCTGTCGAAACGGGGGTCGGCTGGCGCCGGCCGTCAGAGAGCCGCGCAGTTATCTCTGTGGGTATACTCAGGCTGACAGGCTGTCTGAGGGCTGGGACACGCTGGCGGCCAGTATTTCATACTGTCCGCTCTGTCCGCTACTGTAAACTACATAGTTACATACATACATAGTTAGTACATAGGAGGCCCGGGGCTGTTTTGGAGCGGCTGATGATCCGCCCCGCCGACCGACTGATCTAAGGGTCTGTCCATCAAAGGGCGGTGGTCCCTGCCCTCCGTAGCCCCCTCGCCCAGTCCCACCTCCTCTCAGTGTCTACTCAGGTACTGCGCTGTGCCCTCTGCCCTCCGCAGCCCCCTCGTCGAATCACAGAGCCAGTGGGTCCTCAGTGCCGCGGTGCGGTTCCATAGCCGGCTCATTCCACTAGGACCGACATACCGATGGTCCAGGGCGTGACCCGTGTGACCGAGTGACGCGCTCTGCCAACTGTTCGAGAGGTGTGACTTGCAACGGGCGCCGACCCTGAGAGCGGCGACTCGAGCATACGAGCGTTCCGGTCAGCGCCCTGATTGATTTCGGTGTTCCGCCGGGTGGGTAGGGCTGTCGCCGAGTTATAGATGGTGTCACAGTGCCGCTAAATTGGGTAAACGCCCGTGAGCCGTTTACGAGCGGCGGTGGCGGCGGCTCGTTTGAGCGCGCTCCACCGGGCCCCGGTGGCCTGGTTAGGTGTCAAACGAATAACACACCGGCGACCGAGTCCACATAATGGCACTTTGGCTAGATACACTGGGTTAATTGAGTGGCACGAATAGACCGAGACATGCCATTTGAAAGCTGTTGCCAGAGGTCAGGTTTTTGATCAGATGTCGGCGCAGATAATACAGGCGGATTTGTGCAATTGGCTTTGTGCACAGGCTGATTTTGTTCCTGTTATCATCGTGGCCACAACACAGGCCACTGCACACCATCGCTGCGCTGTGCGACTGCCGTGTCCGTTTGTGAGTCACCGTCCACGTTTCGACAGGTCGCCGCTCGTGTCTGCCGTGTGGTGCGTACTGCGTATGTTGAGACTGCCGTGTGGTGTGTAGGTATGTTGAGACTGCCGTGCCCGAGAACCAGGGTCGGCGAGTGACGGCCGGCGGGTCGATCGTCCCGTACCGGACGCTGTCCGAGGCGTGTGAATGGCCGTCCTGTGAGAGCTGACCACGCAGCGGGCCCGCGCTGTACGACTGGACTGACCCCACACCAGCCCTGATTGCGTCTGAGGGTGTGGTCGGGCAGGTCGCCCAGGCATGGCCGTGCACCGCACAGGATTGGCCAGGTCTAACCCGAGCAGGTCGGCTCAGGTCACTGCGGTATACCCCGAGCAGGTCGGCTCAGGTCAGAGCGGTGTGACCCCATGCAAGGTCGGCTCAGGTCACTGCGGTATACCCCGGGCAGGTCAGCTCAGGTCAGAGCGGTTTAACCGGAGCAGGTCGGCTCAGAGCGGTGTGACCGGGCGGGGTCGGGTCGGCTCGGGTGTGACCGCCGCGCTCGGGCGCCGCTCGCCGCTGCGTCCAGCCGACCCAGCCAGGGGCGACGGGTGCAAGGTCGAGCCGAGCGGCGCCGGCAACCCGACCTCGCCGGCACCGCACTCTCTGGAAACTGGCAACTGACGTCCAGACTCCGGCGAAGGCTGCCATTCTCGCCGAATTTTAGTCATAGCTAGCCGGGTGCCCCTCTGGTGTCACCGGACAGGCCGCTGCATAATTAATGGTACCTTTTGGCCATTCATGAAATGCATCGAGAATACCTCGGTCCGAATTTGTATTGCGCGTCATCTCAATCGTTTCTCGGGATTTTGCGAAGATCAAATTATATCCATCTCTTCGACTTTGGTCGTTATTGAATCCAGTTATGTAGGTACTGCTTGAAGTAACAGTAAAACAATGTTATATATTCGTTTGGTGTTTTAATATCTAGTGTATCATCATAACATTTGTTTTTTATAGGACACTGGAACGGACCGTGTATTTTCAGTCCTTGTGGTTTGTGCTGAACAGTGGCGAATGGCAATTGGTTATTCTCTTTCCTTCCGATCGGCTGGCCGTGCTCTGGCCGTGCTGTCCACCGATTTTCCTGAGTGATTGCGGAGCGAGCGAAGCGAGCGTAGCCTTTCGTAGAATACGGAAATTTCTGAGCATGAGGAGTCGGCCGGCCGTGTTCACGTTTTTGCGAGGCTTTTATCTCCGCAACCACTTGACCGATTTACATGCGGTAGTTTTTGTAGGGTAGCTTCATTCCTTCTACCAAGCATTGGACTATTCCAGATGCATGTGAGTGACCCCCTATGCACGTGTCACGTGCAAAACGAAGAGGTGTCAGTTATGTAACAATGGCAATATATGTGTAACTGCTGGGCTGATTGCGCTGAAAATTGGCGTGCATTTAGGCACCCACTAGGCAATGCATATCCATGTGCCAGAGTTGGGGAGCTGCCGCACGTGCGCACGTGCAGGGGTCGATTCCAGATCTTGATTCCAGAACGGCTGAACCGATTGCGCTGGAATTTGGTACATGGTTAGGGACCGGTTAGTAGGGTGCCGTGCAAAAGCCAATTGGGAGTTGGGACCCATTTTGCCCGTGCGCTCGTGCAGGGTGCCGTTTTTAGATCTCGAGAACGGCTAGGCCGTTTGCGCTCAAATTTGGCACATCGCTTGGGACCGGTTGGTAGGGTACAGTGCACAAGTTAGTTGGAGGTACCCCCTCGCAATTTCGCACACGTGCAAGGACCACCCTCTTGCTCGCCCCGTTCGTCGCCCCAAAAGGCGTTTTACTGATAAAATTTATTTTCTTTTTCAGTCCTCAAACGAGCCGACAAACACTTACATATGCGTTGTTTGCCGCCAGAATCCCTGTGAAAAGTGTTGTCCAAACTGAAGTGGTCGGTCGGCTGGTGCTCGATCTCAGCCGGTCCCGTTCCGACGCGGGCCCGCCCCCTCACGGAACCCTGACCTTACCGCGGTATGTGCGACCGCCGACTGCCGAGAGGAGGAAATCTCCCCCAAAATCCAGCAGAAATCACCCGCCTGCGCGGCCGCCACCCACGCGGGGAGCCAAAAAACGCCCTGCTGCACGGCACAGTGGCCGAGACCTTCATCTGGGCAGCGCCTCCGGGAAGGAAAAACGCTGAGCCGCCGACCTGCGCAGTGGCCCAAATTTCAGCCGCCCTCCGCTATCTGCCCGTTTCGCGAGAAAACGTCGCTGCAAACAGTCTGACAAACAAACATATGACCACAATGGTGACTGTGCCGTGCAGCCGGGAGAAAAACCGCTGTGATTGCCTTGGGACGGATCAGCTCCAATTCAGGAGGTGAAGGTCTGTTCGCGTCGGCCCGCGGATACTGCGCGTAGTGAATGTACGAGCGCCGGCTCCTTCATTCACCTTGTGTACCAGTGATGGGGCCAGTTTTTCACAGACCGTTCTGAATGAGATACAGACACATTGTTATTTGAAGTGCGCCAAGACTTCCGTCGTTTTCAGCGCATTGGTCTTCCATCTTTTTTCGGCTGTGTCGCGCGCATTATTATAAGGCCGGCGGGTTGTCGCTGGGCTGTCGCTGCTGCCGGTGGCGGTTTTTCGGCGGGTGCTGCGGCCGGGCTCAGCAGCGGCTCGGTCCCAGCGGTACCACAAGGCCTCAGATGCAGACCCGCCGCCGCCAGTCCCAGGGGAACTGCCGCCGGCCCGGCGTGTGAGTCCGCGCCGGCCCGCTGCTGCCGGGGACCCCGTGCCCCCGACCACACCGTGAGAACGGGCCGAAGGACAGGTGACCCTGGCCCTCCACTCACGGAACCTGACCCGCCGGGCGCATATGATCCCGTGGCCGACGGCCCCGTGAAACCACAACTACCTAACGAAACTGACCTGACCGCCCTGTGGCAGGCGATGACGGGTTACCCTGGTCGCTCACTACTTGACTTGACCTGACCTGACCTGGCACCCTGTCGGCAGGCGAGGACCGCGAAGCGAGCGGGGTGCTGCTCTCCATCGACCACCCGGAGGGCGTGGTCAAGCTGGACCAGGAGGAGGTGAAGATGCTGCAGATGCGCTACCTGTGCAAGCTGCACGTCTGAGTGCCGCGCGGGCCGGGCGCCGCGCCTTCTCCGTCTCTCCCGGCCGGTGGCCGTCCGCGACCGGTCGGCGGCCGCGGCCGGGCTTACTACATATGTTCTGCGCGCGTGCGGCGGTGCTGGGAGCTGTCTGTGTCTGGGGCGGGCCGCCTCTGCTGCTGAGCTATCCGCCAACGTCACTATCCAATACACACGACCTTAGAGCGCCAGTGTTTCCGTCGTCATACCTCGTGTTCTAGGGCTGTGGCGGGGAACATAGGGTCGGGCTACAAAGGGCTGCAGCGAGTGATACGGTACCGGACAGTACGGAACACGTTCACGGTACGGAGCCTTGTGGGGTGATGACAAAGAATGTGGGCTAAGGGGGTTTAAACCGTAGTCCATGCGAGAAAAGCCAGTGGGCCGCGAGGATCAGGCTTATATCAGGACCGATATCGGTCCTTATATAAGGATCGACAGGAGTGTTCTCACCGGTGGATATTCCGTGCCCTCCCTAACCGGATGGCGGCATTTAGGGGTGGAACGCGCCGTAAACTAGGTCACTTTTTTGTAGGCATCCATAGATCGGGGGAGGCGAATCAAGTTAGCGAAAACCGGTATATGGATAAGATCACAGAAGCCGAACAGTGTTACCAAGTGTGCGAACACGTCAGCTGACCTGTCGTGACTCGTCCTCACTGGGCCGAGGGCGACCGGCGCAGCCCCAGCGGGTGGCGAGAGGGCCTCTGTGGATGTTAGGGGGCCAGGGGCGACAGGACTCAGTGGGTGACGGGCCCCACCCAGCGGGCGGCGAGAGGGCCTCTGTGGATGTTGGAGCCAGGGGCGACAGGACTCGGTGGGTGTTGGGCCCAGCCCCAGCGGGCGGCGAAAGGGCCTCTGTGGATGTTATATAGGGGCGACAGGACTCAGTGGGTGACGGGCCCAGCCCCAGCGGGCGGCGAGAGGGCCTCTGTGGATGTTATATAGGGGCGACAGGACTCAGTGGGTGACGGGCCCCACCCAGCGGGCGGCGACAGGGCCTCTGTGGATGTTGGGGGCCAGGGGCGACAGGACTCAGTGGGTGACGGGCCCAGCCCAGCGAGCAGCGACAGGGCCTCTGTGGATGGACACTCTGGGCAGGACACTATGGGCGATGAGGAGAGATAACAGGACTCCTGTGAGCGACTGGGGATGCCAGGACTCCGGTGGGTTGTCGGGCGACACCGTACTTCAGAGGAGACTCGGTTGTATCGGGCGTCAGGAATCTGGTGGGTAAGGGGAGAGCGACAGGAGCCCACTGAAGGTTGGAGAGTCACAACCGTTCGTAGGAGCTGGTGAGTGCGAGTACTTACTAGGCGTAACAATACGAGCATCCGCACCACGCCGTTGGAATGGGGCATGCCTCTAACTGTGGTTAGCATTAATAGCTAATGAACTAGCTATAGAACGGCTTGAGTTTGAGCCCAACTGCCCATTGGCTAACTATGGAACGGTTTGAGTCTTAACAGCTAACGAACTAGCATAGACCTCTGTACATCAGTCAGGTGTATGAACAGAGGTCTATGGAACTAGCTATGAAACGGTTTGAGCCCACCTGCCCGCGGTATGGCCATGGAACGGTTTGAACACTAAACAGCCCAGGGACTGGATATGGTAATCGCCGAAGCTCGTTTGAGGATTGGGGATTCATTAGCGTCGCCACGGGGGGGCAAGCGGGGCAGCTTGCCCCCCCAACCTCGGACCGGGCACCCCCTGAGATCGATACAGATCCGATGAGATTTTGGAGTCGGGAAAAAATGGGGGTACCTTTCTGAGAATGCCTGTGAGGTCAGACTCGGTTGCAGCAAGCAGTTCAAACCAGAGTCTGACTCGCAGTCGCCAAAGTCTTGAAGACTCCGATTCCAGACTCGGAAATGTCAATGCTGTGATTCATTCCATGTTCCTAGTTCGTTCTTTATTACATTTTACATAAGTTTTTTTCATAAGTTTTGGAGTGCTGATACAATTTTCGTTCAAAGCGTGAAACGAAATCTTCGGGGCCTTTCTCAACTCTCGTCAAATGTCTGCGACAGGCTGAAGTATATACAGTACAAGTGTTGCAGGGCTCATGAGCTTGCTTTAACCCTCAAGGGCTGCTAAGGAGCTCCACTGAGCCGTAAAGAAGCCTTCAGAGGGCCCAAACCGGCCTCTTAAAGTCCCACTGGTGTCCATGTTCTCTGAGGTCCCATACAGGGATATTTGAGCCTTCGAACATTTCTGAGAACCTGGCCTCTGATAGTTCAGCCAAACTTTTGAGGCGACAGACTTTGCTAACCTCAAGCCGGCATCTGAGGGGTCACAGCTCACGTGTCCCTCTGAGGTCCGCAACACATGTTAATTATGTCCCTACGTAGGGTCCTTAGGGATTCGACACAGACCTCCAGGGTTCACACTGCTATCTGAGGGCTCCCGGCTCACCCTGGGCCTGGTCTCTTAGCGCCCGCCGCCCACACTGGCTTCTGAGGGCCCCACCTTGGGCTCGGAAAGCCCTAAAGCACCACGTACACGTAAATATTTGAGGTGACCCACGCCGATCTCCGTAATCCTAAGCATGCTTCTGAGAGTCAGCACCGACCCTGAGTGGCCTAAAATGGCCTGGAAGTCCCAAACCTATCTCTAAGGGATCCCTTGCCGCTATGCCGTGCGTAGCTTTTGGTTCCGTTTAACAGTTTTTGTTCGCGTTTGCAGCGCTTCCCTTCACACGAAAAACGAGAAACTTTTGTTCACACTCGAGTGAACAAAACACTTCCTCTCACTGGAGCAAAGATGAATTACTTCCGATTCATACTTCCGACATTCACTCTCCGCCGAATGCCCAACTTAGCTACGATCGGCGGCTGGGATAAGTCCTATACATTTCACGTAAAACCTCTGCATGCATGCGTGAATGGAGGTTTTAGCAGGGTGCCATCCGATTAAATGGAGCGTTTTTCACCTTTTTCTGGGCAATGATCATGAGCGTCGAGCGTCTGCACAGGGGCCCTCTGCAGTGCGTCGGCAATCGCAGCCACTATATACTATAATTCTACCAGTCGTTTTTGTCATGAAATTTCAAAATTTCGAATTTTTCTGTAAAAAATTACATGTCATAGCTAGAAGGAAACCTTTGTCACCATCGGATTCCTCTCACCATTGCACGTCGAATGATATGTAAAACGAGTGAGTTAAGACTGGGGAAAGGCAAGTTTTAACACAAAAGTTGATTTTGCCCCCCCAACCGAAAATCTCTGGCGACGCCTATGTGGGGATTACATGGATCATCTCCTCTTACGAGGAGAGACGGTCTGAGCTAATCTTATGAAAAAACATATACTGGGAAACCGAAGGGAGTTTTTTCCGTGGCGAATTCTAATGGTCTGTGGAAAGGATGATCAGTGTGTCGTGGATGCGAAGGTCGGAGGGTTGTCCCCGGTGACCGGCCTCGAGACGGGTACCGGTCTGCCGAAACCCGGGGAGGCCGTTCCAGGGATTAGGGAAGAACCCCTCCTAAATCGGCGGACTGGGCCGCGGGGAGCCAGCCGGCACTTGAATGGATTAGGTACCGAAACAGGGGGCGGCGGCCAGAACCGGGCGAGAAGTCGACACCGGAACCGGCCTCAGCGGGCGGACGGACGCTGGGGACGCTATCGCACCGAGGTCACCGCGCTGGGATGGGGGTCATGGTTTTAGGGTCAGCAGACATCTGCACCACATGCCTACCCTTGAATCCGTACCCTTCAACGAGTAGTAAGCTTGCTTCAACCACGCTCCTGTTGAGAAATTTCCTCGCGTCTTTCCTTCTCATCAGGGAATTGAACACCATTCAACATTTTCATTTACAGTACAAATGGGTCTTGCCAATGCTTTCATCGCATAAAAGCCATACTTGCCCGAGGGTATACTTTTTGTTTTGTTTAGGTCAACTTAAGGTGTTGACCTCTGGTCAAGGTCAGGTCAGAGCCACTCAGATCACGAAGTTTGTCGAAGGAGGCTATATGGTAGGTATATCATTCGATTTGGCAGGTCTCCCCGAATCCATTGGTGGCTTTCCCGACTCGCTTGGTGAACTTGATAGGGAGTAATTGACGAAAAATAAAACGCAAGGTCAACGATTCAAAAATGAATCTTTGGGCCTTGCAAGGAGCGTTGAAATCACGATGTCATGTGCTTAAGCTAGGTTTAGATCATTCCTGGCGCCAAAATAACAGTTTCCGGGCGACTCCAGCAGAAAAGGGATACCCCAGTGAACGAGCGCCCAGCAAAAGTCTCGCCGAGCAGAAGAGGGACGACCCCAGCAGAAGAGCAGCGACCTCAGCAGCAGAGAGGCGTCTAAGTAGTGGGGGCCGACCCCCCCCCCACCCCCTCTTCTCGGCCGGTGAGGATAAATATAACAAACTATTGGAGGAGCAAAAAGATGTTTCGCCTCCCCCCCCCCCCGTTTCTAAAGGTCAGCTGCCTCCTTTGCACCGAGGAACAAGCTGGAACACAGTTATGAAGCGTTAGCGATCAATAACGTGAGGTTTTCGGGCAGAGCAAGTTTCCACATCGACGACAATATGGATGGCTTCTCTGACTACTGACTCCTCTGCTCTGATTCGGCTTTCCTTTTAGGGAGTTTATAGCTGCGACCATGTATTTTGCACTATTTTCAAAATCGGTGACCTCTTTTGACCTAACCTTGCTCTGATAAGATCATTTTTATGATTTCAGCTTTGCTGGCATACCTTCATCAATCTATTAGTCGTATTCAGGCCCAAATAGGGCTCGATATCTTCGATACTGCGTTCGCTAGAGCTCAAAATGTGAATATGTTCCATTTTGACTTTTGACCCTACCTTGAAAGGTCAGGTGACCTCAAATTCCAAGGTTCAGGATTCCATCTGATGCGTCTCGGTGAGGCCTCCCCAACGCCGCCCAACGCGTCTCGATTCAATGATTATTTTTGAAGATGAGCTGGGGGGCGATAAACGCCCCCTTCAGTCAATGGTGTTTGGCTGGAGGTTCAGTCAAGTGCGGGATATGATTAAAAAAGTTTCGAAAAACATTTCAGGATGTTATCACTGTTGTACAAATGAAAGCACCTACAGTGCTTTGTTTTGTAATCAGATTCCATTTCCATTACCTATCTCGGATCTTCGCACATGTCTGCTTGATTCATGATTCTTTATGAACTTTATGATTCCAAGACAACCCTGCAGCCTGCGTG